CACATCTGAGCTATCTCCAAAAGGAGTCTTGAATAAGCAAAAGAACATCATCCATATCTGGAGCATTTCCAAGTTATCTCTGAAAGGAAATCTGGAATAAGTATCAGAACGTCGCCATGCCTGGGTCACATCTGAACTATATCTAGAAGGAGTCTTGAATAAGCAAAAGAACATCATACATATCTGGATCATTCCCAAGCTATCTCTGAAAGGAAATCTGGAATAAGTATCAGAATGTCGCCATGCCTGGGTCACATCTGAACTATATCTAGAAGGAGTCTTGAATAAGCAAAAGAACAACATCCATATCTGGAGCATTTCCAAGCTATCTCTGAAAGGAAATCTGGAATAAGTATCAGAACGTTGCCATGCCTGGGTCACATCTGAACTATATCTAGAAGGAGTCTTGAATAAGCAAAAGAACAACATCCATATTTGGAGCATTTCCAAGCTATCTCTGAAAAGAAATCTGGAATAAATATCAGAACTTCGCCATGCCTGGGTCACATCTGAACTATATCTAGAAGGAGTCTTGAATAAGCAAAAGAACAGCATCCATATCTGGAGCATTTCCAAGCTATCTCTGAAAGGAAATCTGGAATAAGTATCAGAACGTCGCCATGCCTGGGTCACATCTGAACTATATCTAGAAGGAGTCTTGAATAAGCAAAAGAACAACATCCATATCTGGAGCATTTCCAAGCTATCTCTGAAAGGAAATCTGGAATAAGTATCAGAACGTCGCCATGCCTGGGTCACATCTGAACTATATCTAGAAGGAGTCTTGAATAAGCAAAAGAACAGCATCCATATCTGGAGCATTTCCAAGCTATCTCTGAAAGGAAATCTGGAATAAGTATCAGAACGTCGCCATGCCTGGGTCACATCTGAACTATATCTAGAAGGAGTCTTGAATAAGCAAAAGAACAACATCCATATCTAGAGCATTTCCAAGCTATCTCTGAAAGGAAATCTGGAATAAGTATCAGAACGTCGCCATGCCTGGGTCACATCTGAACTATCTCTAGAAGGAGTCTTGAATAAGCAAAAGAACAGCATCCATATCTGGAGCATTTCCAAGCTATCTCTGAAAGGAAATCTGGAATGAGTATCAGAACGTCGCCATGCCTGGGTCACATCTGAACTATATCTAGAAGGAGTCTTGAATAAGCAAAAGAATAGCATCCAGATCTGGAGCATTTCCAAGCTATCTCTGAAAGGAAATCTGGAATAAGTATCAGAATGTCGCCATGCCTGGGTCACATCTGAACTATCTCTAGAAAGAGTCTTGAATAAGCAAAAGAACAGCATCCATATCTGGAGCATTTCCTAGCTATCTCTGAAAGGAAATCTGGAATGAGTATCAGAACGTCGCCATGCCTGGGTCACATATGAACTATATCTAGAAGGAGTCTTGAATAAGCAAAAGAACATCATCCAGATCTGGGGCATTTCCAAGCTATCTCTGAAAGGAAATCTGGAATGAGTATCAGAACGTCGCCATGCCTGGGTCACATCTGAACTATATCTAGAAGGAGTCTTGAATAAGCAAAAGAACAACATCCATATCTGGAGCATTTCCAAGCTATCTCTGAAATGTAGATATGCCCTGGCTAGATACAGGTATCGAATCTGGAATTGCGATAGTTGATAGTAATCGTCTTTGGATTGACCTTTTTCCTGAAAAGGCAAAACATCAGTTGTATGCAATGTCATGATGCATGAACTGCATGATTTTAAGATGTTCTCAAAAATAAATGAGATTTGTGTGATATGATGTGTATGTGCATGCATTGTGTATGTAAGCAAGATGTATGAAAGGTGATATGTTTATGAATGTATTTTCGTCTAGTAAAATAAATCCTTGACGAATGTCGGGAAGTTGAATCCTGGACTGATGTTGAAGAACAGAGTTCTTCGTTTCCGCTGGGGATGATGGTTGCAAGAACAAACCGGTAGGAGAAGATGACTCCGTTGGGGAATAAACTTGCTGGAGAGATTACTCTGCGGGGAATACTCTGTGGGAAGAGATACTTCGCCGAGGTTTGATGATAACTCCGCTGGGGATTCCGTTGATGAGTTTTGTCGGGGATTTGATGAACTCCGTTGGGGGGTAGGAAGAACTTCGCCGAGAACGATCCTTCCGTGGTTATTAGCTGAGGATAACCCAGTTATAAGCCATGGTGGGTAATAACTTTGGATAAAGCCAGGGAGGCGCGTTCGTGCTCTGCAGGGGATAGGCTTCCAGAATCTACTAGGGATAAGCTTCCCACTGGGGAGATTGATTCAACTCTCCTGGGGAGACTTTTTGAGACTGTACTGGGGAAGTGGCTCCACTGGGATGTCCGTATTCCACCGGGGAACAATCTTAGAATAAGACTGCTGGGGATGCTTTGCTTAGGAACGTCTGTATACTCCGTTGGGGAATATTGAGACCTTCTGGGGATACCCAAATTCCGTAAGGCTGACCGTAGGCTAACTCTGCTTGGAGAGAGTATTGCTAACTTGCTGGAGATCTTGTGCCTTGTAGGGCTACTGGGAAATCAACTCTGCTTGGGGAGAATTGTTGAATCTTGTCTTACTCGGCGGGGAGTGAAGGCCTATTGGTTATGTTCTTCATCTGAACCTATCTTGGTACCTTGGTGGACAAAGCAACTAGATCGCTCGGACAACTCATTACTTCCCCTGTTTCTGATGTGGGAGAAGAAGACACCTTGTGGAGGTGCTTGATAACTGCCGATTGACAAATCTTCTTCTGGTAGGCAAGTGACGAGATGACGGAACATAGTCGTACGCTTTTGATCCCTAACTTTTGCCTGGACTGCCCTTTCGGGTTTTCAGTCCATCGGGATACCCATTTTTGCCCAAGCCGCCTTTTCAGGTTTTTGACTTGCCGGGTGTACAGATTTTTTTCATTTCATCCCTTATTTTTGCCCGAACCCTTTTGGTTCGCCGGGAAGCCCTTATTTTTTCCTAGGCCAGTTGACCTAGCGGGTCTTTGATTGCACGTAGTATTTTTTCGACTATGTCCGTGCTCTTAGGATACATGAAGTTGTCACTGTCAGTAGCGCAGTGTTACCATACCACCAGAAGATCTTCGTTTGATCGTCCAATGCCCCAAGTGATCCAGATGGAGATTTGCCCCATGCTGGTTGGCCTTTTGAGAGATTCTTCGAATCTTGACTTAACTGCCCCAGATGATGGACAATGATCATGCCATGCCCCTTGATTGGAAGTGCTTTTGTTCACTAGATATTCTTCGTGCGAATTTCTCTGCTGTTCGAACAAATTATCATATGCAAACAATGTTATTTCAAGAATGCAAAGCCTATGTCTGTTTTGAAGTTTTTGAAAATGCATTTTTCAATAAAACAAGCAAATTTTGTAAAAATGTGATGTCAACTCGTTATTTTACCGCAAGCCTTAAGGAGTCAGGATACCTTTCGTAACAATATGCTTTCGAACTAACCCATGCTTCAGCTAGGACTTTTGAGGGTTATAATGTGGTCTGGTTCACGGTTTAAGAAACAAAGGATAAAGGCTCAAATTTATCTGTACCCACCCGCTCTTCGTGATGTTCTTCAAACCTAAACTCAGCTGATCGTGTGTTAGACCTTGTTTGAGTCTTTGCTATGATGTTCCGGTGATGGTTCGTGTTGTACCCCAATTTTTGACCTAAGATCCCATATTTATTTTTGCATTTTTAAACATAAGCCAAGGTCACGAAATACGGTCGGTTTAAACGTCTCACCTTCGAGCTTTGACTATGCGAAGATTGTCAAGTATTTTGAACATTTTTAGCCCATGTACCCCTAATTTCTAATCCATACAAAGGTGTATGTTCATGTTTCCTTTTGCTTCATGTGCAGAGACAGGTCTGAATCAAGAGCATCAGGTGTCGCGCCCCAATTAAGGTTTTGAGTCTCCCAAACCAGAAGTACGGTTGATTGTGGATTCTCGAAGACTGATTCATCAAGGCACACCGTTGCACCCTAAATTTCGCCCTTGATTTTTTTCAGTCGCACATTCATGCCATATTTTGTCATTTGGTCACGATCATTAGTAAATATCTTCATTCATCACATTTTGCATCATTAGTCGTATTTAAGGTGACCAGAAAAAGTCAGTTTAAATCAAAGTTTGCATCGTCTTTCAGTTGTAAAATACTTGATATTTCACTTCGGGCATTTTTATCTCTTTACTCGTTTGTTGCATTGCTCCAAGTTGTTTACATGTCAATAATAAAAATATTTTGGTTTTATAGACAGACTGTTAAAAGCGATTCGACACTATGCGGGAAAGTAGCGAGAAAATATTTCAAGTTTTCACCTTTTATCGATCATTTTATGAATCTGCGCTTCGCGTAGATTATGACGGTATGCTCGCTTTATTTTTCGGTACAGTTCGAAGTCTCGTTTTTAACCTTAAACGTCTGTTTAGTCTGATATTTTCATTATTATTTTATTTTTGATTTTTGACTTCTTGAATATTTTTTCTTTAATCTTTGTGACATGTAGATTATTTTAATGTGTTCATTTTATTTTTTCGGATAAATTTGCGTCGATTTTTTATCATTTTCGGTCATTTTAGCTCTTTATTTTTTATTCATAAAATATTCGAAAAAAATCATTTTTAATTGAGTTAATTGCAATACATTTAGTTTTTTGGTTATTTTATCATTAAAGGACATTTTGGTCACAAAAATATATCATTTAGACGTTGCTTAATTTTTATTGGTTGTTGACAAAAGTTGAGGATTAATGCATATTGAATAATTTTGAACGGTTGAGATTAACTTTGAAATCAATTTCTGTTTTTTCATTTTTTTTATATAAAGCTTACTCTTTGGAACAAGACTGATATCTTTTCTTTACCAATGAAACAAAAAAGCAAAAAAGGCACTAGCAGAAAAACATCCACAACAACCCATTACACATTCCTCTTCACACCAACATACTTTTTCTAACACTCACGAGATTACTCTTCTTTCTTTCTTGTCCATGCTCCAAAAAATGGCTTCAAAATCCATTCTTCTTCTAGGCATTTTTCTTGTGGTGGCCACTAAGGTTTATTCTTATGAGGAAGATCATGTTTATTCTTATGAGGAAGATCTCAAAATAGTGGTGAACTATGCAAACCCTTCAGCTCCTTCTGTTCTAGCTCCACCAGTAAAACCATCACCAACACCTGTAGTGACGGCTCCAACACCTCCTTCTCCGGTGAAGACACCGCCAACAACTCCACCATCACCTACTTCTCCTCCATTGGCAAAAACACCACCTTATCAATACCACCCTGTTTCTTCCTTCAATCCATAACCTTCTATTTAGAACAACACCACAACAACATCATGGAACACGCAAATACACCACAACCCAACAGCACTGTTCCATCTCCCAACACTCTCTGTTCCATCACCCTCAACAAAACACACCTTTTCAGAATCGCTATAAACCTCCATCTCCGTCAACATTCATCTACCATAATACAGAGCACCAACTCGTCACATTTCCACACGCGGTCAGCTCATGTTTCCATAACCTTCCGCCAACTTCTGTGCACCGAACACCATCCACAAGCCAACAGCCTTCATCGTCGGACCCACTTCCTCCATGTTGTCACACCGCGATCGCTCCTTCCACACTCTTCTAACGACCGGTAGCCCACCACACTACCCTCTATTCACACGAAACCACACGCACCCTTTACACCTTCTGTTCTCATGCTATCGTTCAGAACATACCAACCAAGACCTTCAAACTCCCTCCGCCCAACAACACTCCCTCATTCTCCGATCGCGCTCATCCCCGCCGTGGATCGCCGCCTTGAGACCTGCGAACAGAGGAATGGGGAGAAGAAGTTAGGTTTGGCGTTGGACAGAACAGAAGACAGTTGGGGCCTTCAGATCGTGGGGTGGTGTCGTTGTGTTGGTGTTAGAGAAAAGAGGAATTGAACAAGCATGGAGAAAAAGAGGAGTTCGAAGTGATAAAGAGGAAGGCACATGGGTCTGGATCTGAGAGAAAGAGAGATACTTGCTTTCACAAAGAAGAAGAAATAAAGACATTGTTTCTCACTCTCTAATAATGTATAATAAGGTATGCTTTTATGTTCTTATTTTAATTCAATGCCACGTGTCAGCTATTAATTGGCTAATGGAAAAATTTGAAAAGTAAAAAAAAAACTCTAGTAAGAAGGCATCAGCTCCGCCTGGGGTGTTACAATATTTTTTTTACTATTATTATTTTTTATGGTAAATTAGGGTTAATCATTTAGTTTGGGCCTTGAGCCATACTTCCTATCTTTTTACTAATCCACCCCATTTATTCACTTGACACCCCACGTTTTATTAGTTTAGTTTTCATAATTTTCTTAACTTTATTATCTTAATTTCTTAGTTTAATTTTTTTTCTAGAGGGCAACCAAACGATGATGTTATAATTAATTAGATAAATTATTAGTTTAAATTTAGAATTAATTTAGTATCTTTTAGAATTGTGATTTATGTTTAGAATTAATTTAGTAATCTTAGAATTTTAATTTAGTTTAATAAAATATTTTTAGTTAATTATTTAATTATATTCTCTTTCATTTGTATTTGATAGTCTTTGTCATTTTTAAATTAAATTTCTCATTGCCTCTTTGTCATTATTTGTTTATTTAGATTTATTTTCTTATGGATCCGTGAATGCTTGTGCTTTGATTATTGTGCTTTCATTGCTTAAATTCCAAGGAAAAACGGTTAAACCAGTTGACTTCATGTCATCAAATATATATGTTACGATTGTGTGAAATCCTTCATATTTTTAATCTTAAAACAAATTTTTCTAAAAGACTTAATTTTAAAACTCACACACCTTTTAAGTCAAAAGTTCGACACTAGGTCGTCGTATCTTCAAAAATCTCGTTCATACCCATCTTTTAGCCAAACGAATCATTTTAATCAAACAAACAATTTTAAACCAAAAAAACAGATATTTCAAAAGGTTCCTGTGGAGTACCGTAGATGCATTGGATGCTAATACCTTCCCATTGTATAACCAACCCCCGAACTCTCGATCTCTTTTAAAAACACATTGTATTTTCATTACTTTTAAATATTACTTTACATTGCATATTTTAGGGTTTTATTTCGCTCTTTTCCCTTTTCCCTTGGAAATAATAAAGCGCGGTGGCGACTCTTGCTTTTTGTGAGTCAAGTTAATTAATAGCTTGATCTCCGATTTTCACCGCTACAGAATTGGCGACTCTGCTGGGGAATAATTGACCTCTTGCTGGTCCATCCCTAAGTGGGTTAAGCCTAATTTGTTTTATCTGTTTTATCATTATCTGATTGTTTGATTATATGTATATATTATGATTATTTGGGTGTTGATAATATTTACAAAGGACGAGTCCTATACCCGGACTAAGTTACACTTAGGAATAGGACGGGCGGTATAGTCATGTTAACTTTGAGGGAGTAATCCCGAAGAAGGAGGCATGAGATCCCCCACTCAGTGGAAGGCCCTTTTGAACGTAATATTTATTTACCGAGTAATCGGGAAGACATTATTATTTTCGACCTGGGAGCCAGAGAAGCTGGGAACCGTAGAACCCTAACCCATCTTGTCCTTTTAGGTGTAGCGCGGAGATTATAACGGAGTAATCCGGAAGTAATTGTTACGCGATGCTACGCTCGGATGAGTTTCTCTTGAGAATATTGCTGATTATTGAGTAATCAAGACGTTGGTAATATCCGAAGGAGGAATGTAGACTCCGGGAACTCTTAGAACCTTGTTCTACAGGTGTGATTAAACCGTTAGTACATACCTTGAGGGTGTTCCTTACCTTGACTCCATGCTCGTGACGTTGAACCTTTCGACTTTATTTGTGACCTTGCTTGTGGTTGTTGCATAGCCATGCATTCATGCATCCATAAAACCCTTTTCACTTGACTTTGAAGGAATTTGGAGGTCTTTCTTTGTAAACATCACAAGTTTCGTCAAGCTCAATGGATCTTGGGTGTTGATAGGGCGAAAACCCTAATCCGCCAAAATGGATGATTGATCTTGATGATAACTTGATCAATGTTTGGAGCCAATTTAAAATTCATCTGCTATCTTCATACTTTGATGTTTATAACTTAATATCTCGAGTTCCTTGAAAATCAAATAAAAACTCTCTTTTGCATATCATACATCATTCTACATTTTTTGTTTCACTTTCAAAGGTCTTTTTCCGAGTCTTATTTTTCCTTTGGTTTCACCTAAGTACAACACTCGCGCTAAGAGGACAATGGAGAATATCAAGCAAGAGGTTTCTGAACTCCGTAGAGAGATGACTATTTTGAAAGCTAGTGTGGAGCACTTAACTGGTTTGGTCTAAATTTTGGTTGCCGCCCAAGTCAATCCTTTTAGGAGGGAGGAAGCGATGATAAAAGTTTTCACTGAAACTCTAAAATCATTCTCTCATGGGAAGGTGTTGGTTAATGCACCTAATGACTTTCCTGACAAGGTGAATGTGGGAGTGCGTCTAGAAGAAGATGTTGGGAAGGGATGTTCATATGAAGATGGTAGCTCAACTAATGGTGTGAAGAAGTTTGATAATAACTTTTCCAAGAAGAGAACCATAGGAAGAAATATTCATCGTCAAAATCATCATGTTCCTCCTATTCATCAACAAAATCAGCAAGTTCCTAATCAGAGGAAAACCCAGTTTGATCCAATTCCAATCACCTATACAGAGTTGTTCCCTATCCTGATGCAGAGGAATTTGGTTCAGACCCGACCTCCACCGAAGGTTCCTGAGAAGATACATTGGTACTACAAAGCTGATTTGGCTTGTACCTTTCATCAAGGTGCTCCTGGGCATGACTTGGAGGGTTGCTTTGCTTTGAAGATTGAGGTTCAGAAGTTGGTCAGAAGTGGTATCTTGTCATTCAAGGACGTTGGTTTTGAAGTTTAAATCAAGCATGCGCCGAAGAGTAAACACGATTGATGGTGATTTTGATTTTTGAAGGATGTTTTTGGTAATTCAAGTCCAGATGGAAAGCCTTCCTCGATCATTAACTTATTTCTGCTTTTTGTAATTTTTCTTGTTTATCAAAACATTGTTTGCATGTAAGAACTTGTTTGCATCTGTATGATTATCTTAATACAATGAGTATGTTTGTCTTGAAGAAATTCATTCGTTTCACTCATATTTGTTTTCAAATTTTAAATTTCTTTTTGCATTATGATACCAACTTGTTGCCCATTCTCTTGCCTAGGCAGAGATTGAAGGGAGGATGATGATCTAAAAACACAAAATCTCTGGTTGTATGCTTTTTGAATAAAATCTTGCTGACGATGTACAGGCATTGTTTCAAATCCCTAAACACCGGAGATATAAGGAAGATAATCCCTTGCTAACCCCTTTTGAGCCTTGAAGTAGAAGTTTCTTTTCTATACGAACAAACCTTGAATTTTAACCTGGGGCAGGGTAGTCTTTAGTTAATCTGACTGAGTGTTCGAAATTCATAAGGAAGATGTTTTTTGAAGAGAAACTACGACGGCTATCTTTCATGTATAATGAAGCCAGAAGATGTGGAATCACAATGTTATCCCTCATTCATCAAGAAACGAGGCAATCACAATCTTCTCAACAAGCAAATGCAAGCTAATGTCACATATTTTGTTCAAAAAGTCAAAAATCGAGAAAAAGAAAAAGCCTGCTAAGTCAAAAAACACGAAAACGTGTGACTTAGGCAAAATTAAGGCATCCCGCTGGACTATCAATTCAAAAGAATTAGTTCAGGCAAAAGTTATGGAAAATAAAAATTGCAAAGAAAAGGACTGCAAAGAAAAGTCCTCAACAAAGAACAAATTGGTGACTACAAACACGAAGACATGAGGGCGGTTTCTACTCCGAAAGCCTCGTCGTTTCCTTGACCGTCACAAAATCCTTTTGAGAGATGAACACTCATGTTGAATTAACTGAACATAGGGTTGGAGAACATCATGAAGAATGGGTGGGCACCAAATATTTTGAGCCTTAAAATCCTTTTTCTAAAAACCATGAACCAGACCACGTTACAACCTTCAAAAGTCCTAATTGAAGCAAGGTTATTTTGAAAGCATACTTCAATGAGATAGTGTTCCTGACTCCCATGAATGTTCTAAATAATTATGTTGGTATCATATGTTTTTCCTATACAAAAAGAAATGGTGCTTTAACTCGCAAAATTTGTGCGATATCTTTCAAAATCTTCAAGACTTACATAACTGTTGCATTAGAATTTTCATTCTCATTGCAAACTTTTTCTAACTGCAAAACATTTGTTTGATATCAAGGAAACTCA